GAAAAATAATTCATTTCTTTAATGCTATTTTTCAGCTTATGTTTTTTGTAAGCCAAGGTAAATCTATGGTTCTCACAAACATGCACCAATCCCTGTTTATTTAGGTTTTACAGCACAAGAATTTTTCACACAATGTCAATCAAGACTTTAACTTAATTAATTTGAACTGTGCTTTAAATAGGACAGTTTATGTTAATTTAACTCCATCGTCTATCACTTCAGTTAGAACATGTATACCAAAGCTTTAGCCAAAATTATATATTTGTATTTTTTTTCAAGCATGGAATTTTCAGATTGAATTTGTTAGTCACAGTTATCTCCTTTGTCAGACATCTTCCATTTTCAATGCATGAATTTTTTTGGTGGTAAGCTTTTAGAAAATGAAAATCTTGTCTGTCAGTTGTTATACCCATAAGTTTGATAAATAATTGCAAGTATAAATAACCTTGTTGAAATAGTGAGATCATGAAATTGGAATATAGCCGTAATTTTGATTAGCCAATTGCTGTATACTAGTATGTGTGTATGTTATGAAGAGTTTTAAAAGATCAGTTATTTAACTTCCACTCAATGAGTGTTATGTCACATACACAGAGTGTTATGCCACATACACAGAGTGTCATGCCACATACACAGAGTGTCATGCCACATACACAGAGTGTTATGCCACATACACAGAGTGTTTTAACCCAGGGAGTTGGTGGTATACTGTATCACCTTGTCATTCATTTGTCAGTGCTGAGGGGCCTGATGGGTTATTTTCGTTCTTCGTGATCGGCGCATTTTCGCTATCGTGATCCGTTTTTCTACAGATTTTTTTTTTTTTATATTTTCGTGATCCATGATCATGGAAATTTATTTTCTGTGAATTGTGATTGACAAAAAAATCAAATCGTGAATCGTGATGAGACCCCCCATCAGGCCCCTCAGTGGTTCTATTTGTTCCTCCTAAATATTGTTACATATTCTTAGTTCTGTTTTAAAGAGAGATTTCATAGTTGGTCTAAAATTTTATAATGTTAAGTTGTATTATGTAAAAATTGAAAACAACAGATCATAAATTTCATACATTCAAAGCGCTTATTTGTATTTACCTTCATCAGGAACGCTCAGTGTAAGCGATATTCAGATCTGCCATCACTTTCTATTTGATGATACTTTGATGTTAATTATACCCACTTGGAAAGAAATATTTCTTAAATTCTACTAACAAGTTGGTGTAAACTTTTTACAACATTGTTTTCCCAGTAATGTGACTTTTATAAGACAGAGAAATCATCAATCTAAAAATTTTCCTTCAACTTTCACTGTGCCACATAATAACAATGAAAAATAAAAGTTTTGGTTTGTGTCATTAACTATAACAATAATATGAGTGCAAAAATATTTTGTCATCATTCTTCAAGATCATGGATCATTACTGTGGATTCATTTATTTCCATGTTTACCAATTTTCGTGGATTAAGGAAAACTTGCATTTTCGTTAGTACAAAATATATTTGATTTCATGATTTTGCCAAAGTCTGCATATAAGCCTTCAGAAAATTTGTTATTTCTTGAACATTTGAATTCTTGGGTCATCTGTCACAACGATATCTATAAAATTGGTATCCCAAGTATAATAATGAATCCACAGTATAACAATAACACGAGTGCAAAAATCATTGTAATCATGTGCAAGGTATGAATCATTATTATGCCATAACTCTAGAAGTGACGGCCATATTGTTTAGGTTATGAATCATTATTATACCATAACTCTAGAAGTGACGGCCATATTGTTTAGGTCATGGGTCATTATTATACCATAACTCTAGAAGTGACGGTCATATTGTTTAGGTCATGGGTCATTATTATACCATAACTCTAGAAGTGACGGCCATATTGTTTAGGTCATGGGTCATTATTATACCATAACTCTAGAAGTGACGGTCTTATTGTTTAGGTCATGGGTCATTATTTTACCCCATCTCTAGAAGTGACGGCCATATTGTTTAGGTCATGGGTCATTATTATACCCCAACTCTAGAAGTGACGGCCATATTGTTTAGGTCATGGGTCATTATTATACCCCAATTCTAGAAGTGACTCAGATACCTACTTCCTTTTTGTAGATACTTTGAATGTTTAGTATGTTGAATGAACTTAAAAAATATATCAAACTTTTCTCAGAAACTACAGGGGGCCTTGGTGGTCGAGTGGTCTGAGTAGTCGAACTACTGTATCACTAGCCTTTCAAGCTGAGTTTGAATCCAGCACATGTCAGGTGCACTGGTCTCCAATCTTTATTGACTAGGATTATCAGTTTTCTTACCAAAGGTCTGTGGTTCGCTCCAGGTACTCCAGCTTCCTCCACCGATAAAAACTGACTGCCATGAAATAGCACAATAGTACAGAATGAATTGTTAAAACACCAATCAATCAATCTCAGAAACTACTGTCAGAACAGAATAACTTGTAACGTGTGTGCACGTTTTGGATCTGTCTGACACAGAGTTCCTGTTTTCTGATTCCTTGAAATATGAGTGAGGGGATACTTAGCCCAATACTGCATCCACAGCAAGTCAATTTAGTTCCTTGTACGTTCATCAAAATTTGACGAATCTCTGTTTATAGGCCCATGATTTGGAGAACAAATATTAAATATCAATATTTCACTACTGCAAGCTTTAACTATAGTAAAAGTGAATCAAAAACATATAAATTGCCTTGACCAACATTTTATCCTGGAGTGAGTTTAATAAGTTTTAATCTTAGAAACTTAGGATGATGTATTACCATGGTAATAATTTAACTTTATGCTTTTTTAGGAAAATATATTATTATGACAGTTTGTATTGTATGACCTAAATTTAACCTTGGGTGACATCTATCCCAGCATCCTTTGCTGATTTATCTGTTGTAACCTTCTTATGTGGTGTAACCCAGCTCAGTAACATTTGGGTCACCATAACTTGGTTCAAATTTTGTATTTAGTATCGTATCTTATAAAATATTCACATTGCATTATCAAAAAGTGTCTTCTTTACAAACACGGCAGGGCTGTCTTTGGTGACTTTGAAATATCTCTCTCTAAATTATAGTGTTAAAATGGATATCATATTTAGTTTTACTTTTACCACTTAGTAGTTATTGTCCCCCGCACTATGCATTGCGGGGGACATGGAAATACCGGGCAGCGGTCCGTCTGGTTCTTGTTAGCCCTCTTACTTGTACAATTCTCACCAGATTTTTATGAAACTTATATCATATCATCAGCAATGTTTGAGACAAGTTCGAAAAATCATTTTTGCCGATCAATTATTTTTAAAAGAGTTATTCCCCTTGTAAACATTAATTATATGGAAAATTGCATCTTTAGGGCTCTCATTTGTACAATTCTTGCCAGAGTTTTGTGAAACTTATAACTTAGGTTTATATCAGCAATGACTTGAACGAGTTAGAAAATCAGTGCCGATCAATTATTTTTAAAAGAGTTATGTCCCTTGGAAATATTGATTAAATGAAAAATTGCATTGTTAGTGCTCTTATATTTACAATTCTTGCCAGAATTTTATAAAACTTATATCATAGGTTTATATCAGCAATGTCTTTGACACTTTTGAAAATAAGTGCTGGTCAATTATTTTTTATCGAGTTTTGTACCTTGGAAATATTAATTATATTGGAAATTGCATTGTATTTGCTCTGAATAAAATTGAGAATGGAAATGGGGAATGTGTCAAAGAGACAACAACCCGACCAAAGAGCAGAAAACAGCCGAAGGCCACCAAGGGTCTTCAACACATTGAGAAAATCCCGCACCCGGAGGCGGGTTTCAGCTCCAAAACATATAAATGAACTAGAATTAAAAAACATACAAGACTAACAAAGGCCAGAGGCTCCTGACTTGGGACAGGCGCAAAAATGCGGCGGGGTTAAACATGTTTTGTGAGATCTCAACTCTCCCCTATACCTCTAGCCAATGTAGAATAAACAAACACACAGCAATATGCACAGTAAAACTCAGTTCAAAAGAAGTCTGAGTCCGATGTCAGAAAAAGTAACAAAAGAAACTAAGCAAAATGACAATGATACATAAATTTACAAAGGACTACTAGCAGTTACTGACATGCCAGCTCCAGACCTCAATTAAACTGATTGAAAGATTATGTCTTCATCATATGAAAATCAAGCTCAATCCTTCCTGTTAGGGGTTTAGTATCATACCATCATAAAATATATGAGAAGAACATAACCTGTATCATGCCAACAACTGGTTTTAGAATAAATGTGTTTATTTCCGATGCAAAAACCCTATGAGTGAATCAATATTAATACCAAAATATACCATCTTTAATGACCTGACAACAGTATTGTAACTATATCCCTTCTGAATAAGTCTGTTTAAAGGTTTGGTTAGCTTTTGAGGTGAATGCTGACATTTTTGTGCTTTGTATAGAATATTACCATAAAAGATTGGATGTGAAATACCTGAACGTATAAGATGTCTGCATGTTGATTTATATTTACGAAGCCTTCATTTCTCTAAGATATTTATAAAAAGTTTTAAAGAACAAAATAAAAGTTTTTTTTTTTTTTATAGTTATTGCCCTTGTACCTTGGATAGATAAAATATGTGCAACGTGGGGGACATTGGAACTCTGTTCTTTTATTAATAAATAATTGAATGGTCACATACAGTTACAAATAATAAATGAATCCAATCGTAAATTTACAACTTTTTTTATGTTATATGTAAAGTTCTGACAGCTGAAATCATTTATCTGTTAATCAGTTTTCTTCTCACTGATCAGTTTTATTAGAAATATAGTAAGCACTATTTCAAACATTATCAGTTCATTGCTCAGATGACAAAAACTTTATTTAAGTGACTTTATCCTACATTTACCATTATTACTATAAATTCAGAAATTATTGCTATGTTTTTATAAGTGTGAACAAATGTGACAGTATTGCGTTCGATTCATAAAATAGTATCCTGCTGTTGTCTTTTGCAGGAAAGACAGAGAAATTCAGAAGTCAAAGGGAACAAAAAAGGGTTACAAAGAACAGACTCAACTACATTTGAAGGCCCTGTAAGTATTTGATAGTAAACTTTTCATAAAGTACAGTACAAAAAGTCATATTTGTGCAGTAAAGGAAATTTATTGTTGTTGAGGACAAGTACAAAAATTTAGCACCAATTTAAGAAAAAAACAATTTTTTTTTAAAAGGTGAGTTCTTTTTATACATTTTTAAATATGCCAATATCAGTATGAAATTATATTGGAAGGGAGAGAGGCAGAGAAAATTGAGTACCTATTTTATGTAGTCAGCCCCTCTTACAGTGTTCAACCATTTACTTTTTTTTTCAGATATGTGACTTAATAATTTTTCCATTTTTGCTTCAAGCAACTGAAAATAATTTGGTATATTCCATATCCCTTAGTTTCATGCCCCTAAGATATTTGAATAAAAGAAGGAGATATGGTGTAATTATTAAGGACACAGTAACCCAGCAACAAGAGATGAGATGACATTGTGATACGGTAGCCAAGTATCAATACAATGTATAAAAATGACGACTGTACATCAACTCCAATCACTAAACATTGACAGAAGATCCTTAACCAGTGAAAAGGTTCCTAACTTGGGAAAGGCCTTACAACAAATAAACAAAGCTCTTTAATATATACAATAGTTTATATTGTACAACCAATGAACAAGGCTCTTATATACGATAGTTGTCTTAGAGCCAATAAAAAAAGCTCTTATTTACAATAGTTATCTTACAACCAATAAGCAAGGCTCTTATATTCCATAGTTGTATGAGAGAATATGTATTAATAATTACTTTTTTATTTTACAGGGTTCATTTCAAATCACTCCATTACCAGGCACACATCCATTGCTCATCTTTCTAAATCCAAAAAGTGGCGGAAAACAAGGTGCTAAGTAAGTTATCTCCCTTTAAATTTTCTTGAAATATTTAAAAATCTTTAGTGATGCCCTAAAACATTCAGATAACAAGGTTGTGTTTTTTTACAAACGAGTATCCCTCATTAAATCAAACTACCTGGTGTGTTGTTCCCCTTTAATCACATTACAAATTGAATTGTCTCCCTTTAGATCAACAGGTTTGGATTCTTAATCACATGAATACATTGATTCTCTCCTATAAACACAAGCATCAAAGTGTTAATGAAAGGAGATGTGAAAACACACATTTATGAGAGGTCATTATATGACCTTCAGGGATTATTAGGCACCTAAACCAAAATTATGATTACTCTTAGAAAATACAGCAGTTAGTTAAAATTACAAGTGACTCAATACCAAGTTTATGAAGTAGTGCTATAATTTATAACAAAATTTGACATTCAACATTAATATCATGTATCTAAAAACGGTTTATTTAATCATAACCTATATGTGAAAAATTGACAGAAGTGGGTCTGTTTCATATTTGATTAATGTACTCTAGAATAGATTTAGGAAAGATACTTTATTTAGGACAGTGCAAAATGCATAAAATTTCAAACGATTAACTAAGTATCAATGCCTTCCAATTGACTCCTATCATCTCACTTTAACCCATATTTATGGAAAGGCCCCTATACTGTTCAAGTGACAAATTGCAAATAACTTTATTGTATTTTGTAGGTTATTGAGAAAATTTCAGTATCTGTTGAATCCCCGACAGGTGTATGATATGTTAAAAGGAGGACCAATGCAGGGGTAATTTGATAGTTTATACTGTAATATTATTTAGCTCACCTTTCCCAAAGGTCCAGTGTAAGCTATTTTCCTCACACTGATTTCATTGTCCTTTTGTCGTCCATCTGTAAAACATTGCAAAAGGTTTTTCCTCTAAAGCCATGTGGCTATTTGAAATTACAATTTTAAATATGAAATAAGAAGATGTAGCATAATTGCCAATGAGACAACTTTCCAAATAAAGTAGATGTTAGCATAATTGCCAATGAGACAACTTTCCAAATGAAGTAGATGTTAGCATAATTGCCAATGAGACAACTTTCCAAATGAAGTAGATGTTAGCATAATTGCCAATGAGACAACTTTCCAAATGAAGTAGATGTTAGCATAATTGCCAATGAGACAACTTTCCAAATGAAGTAGATGTTAGCATAATTGCCAATGAGACAACTTTCCAAATAAAGTAGATGTTAGCATAATTGCCAATGAGACAACTTTCCAAATGAAGTAGATGTTAGCATAATTGCCAATGAGACAACTTTCCAAATGAAGTAGATGTTAGCATAATTGCCAATGAGACAACTTTCCAAATGAATTAGATGTTAGCATAATTGCCAATGAGACAACTTTCCAAATGAAGTAGATGTTAGCATAATTGCCAATGAGACAACTTTTCAAATGAAGTAGATGTTAGCATAATTGCCAATGAGACAACTTTCCAAATGAAGTAGATGTTAGCATAATTGCCAATGAAACAACTTTCCAAATAAAGTAGATGTTAGCAACTTTAAGTCACCATACAACCTTCAACAAGGTAAAGTCTCCTGAAATGATTTTTAATGAATTTAAGCGATTTTAGTTCAGATAAATATATAGTACAATTCTAAGCTATGACACCACACATTATGCTTGAAACTGCCTCTAAACAGGGTCCAATACACACTGCACCATCAGATAGAAAAAAAATTGGCAGTCCAGAGTCAATTTTGTGGGTCAGGACTGACAATGTTTGGCATGGCACATATTAATCTCAGAATTATAAAAAGCACAATACAATATGAAGTTGTCTTAACTCTCCTTCATAGATATAAGAAGATGTGGTATGTCTGCCAATGAGACAACTCTCCATCCAAGTCACAATTTATAAAAGTAAACCATTATAGGTCAAAGTACGGTCTTCATGTTCAGACATTATTAATGATTTGCATTGAATTAGTTACAATTTATTGTGTCACACTCATCATCAACCTTGATTGTCAACACTTTCAGATGAGAACTTATATTTACTGTACATATTATTGTAATCAGTGCATTCGATATTTTAAGTTGAACTTATGTTATATTTAATTTGACAGTTTACAGTTTTTTCATGACGTCCCAGGAGCCAGAATATTAGCCTGTGGAGGAGATGGTACTGTGGGATGGCTAATAGATGCCATGGGTAATACTTATAGTATGGCAAGCTTAAATTGCCTAGAATCTGGACAAGTTGTAAATAATTTAACATAGACAGTTGGATAACATCAAAGTACAGGTTAAATAGATGTTTGAAGATCAATATAAGGTTGTAATTAATGGAAAATTGTCCACATCATACAAGAGCTTTATTTACCCCAAAGTCTAGGCAAAGTATTAATCTATTTCAAGACAAACAGCTGAAGATTTTACTCTAAATTCTTAAATTCTTGATATCAAAAAATACTTAAAAAGAGTGGTGACAAATAGAGAGAATATTTCAGAATTTAGACAGGCATACACATATGTAGCAAGGTTAGAATGTGAGTAATTAGGCAAATATACATGTAGCAGGGTTAGAATGTGAGTACTCAGGCAAATAATATACATGTAGCAGGGTTAGACTGTGAGTACTCAGGCAAATAATATACATGTAGCAGGGTTAGACTGTGAGTACTCAGGCAAATAATATACATGTAGCAGGGTTAGACTGTGAGTAATCAGGTAAATATACATGTAGCAGGGTTAGAATGTGAATACTGGGGCAAATAATATACATATAGCAGGGTTAGAATGTGAGTAATCAGGTAAATATACATGTAGCAGGCTTGGATTGTGAGTACTCAAGCCCTCAGAGTATTAGTTTTTACTGGTGGACACACAAATTCGCCCGAAGACAACTCAGATTGTCTACAAAAAAGACAACTCAGACAGTCAATAAGGTCTTTAAAGTTGACTCAGAGCATCTATAAGTTAACTCAGACTGTCTATGAATGGTCATGATGTATTGCTGTTTTCTGTGTAGGGTAGTGAGGCTTCACCATTCTGTTTTTGTACTTGTGTCTGTGACTTTTGAGAAGTCTGTAGGTCTGGTATCATAGGGTGTAGTAAAAGATAGGTGGGTGCTTTCAGCTGTTGGAACATGTATACATTGCATGCACATAAATTATAGTCGTACTTTGTCTTTTTTTTATTTAAAATATAGAATCGCCATGAGGAAGTTAAAATTCCTCTTTTAATACTTTGTCTGATTTGTCATTATACATGGATTTTATTAGCATTCCACAGAGTCCAGTATTCGCACTCATTCCCAATGACAAAACCCCTACAATTTCGGGAGGAAAAATTCCCAAATGAGATAATTTTATGGACATTTACCCGCCTGATTGAAAATTGTTCAAGTTACAGTTTCACCTATATTATTCATGACAGAGATGTTTTTTTGTTTAATCGCTAGCTTTATGCCGAAAATCGCAAACAAGTAATGTGTAAACCCAAGTAAAAACATTTCTGACTTATAAGATACAACTTTGACAAATGGCCACTATAAACCAGTAATGTAAACAAATGTAATACAGGATCAGATCGAATTAAATTCGCTGCAGGTGATTTTGCCGATCAAATTAAATTTGCCACAGGTGACAAAATATAGTTATTAAATATAAACTCATGAATTGAAAACCAAAAGATTTATAAAAAAGAAAGAAAAAACAGGAAATATTTTTTACAGAAACTTGGACATTTTTATTCCACAAATGTTCTAACCCGAATAATTCAGTCGTTATATTCCGCTGATCTACGAAGGCTACATTAACGCCTGAACGTCTTCCTCGATAAAGACCGTCAACTGGAAAATTCACACCGCTATGCAATATGGGAATTTTGATTTAAGTTGGCAGCTAAAGAAGGAGGAGTTCCGGATGTTAATTGATGTTAAATGATGTAAACTGATGTTAATTGATGTTAATTAATTATTATCGGATTTGTGTTAATTGAACACACGTGTTTGGTAAGACAATTACAAGACAGTTGCGCAGACTCATTATCCTGATCGCCGCCGATTGGCTCTCTCTCACAGAGAGCAGGCGACGCGGCCAATGATCATAAGGAGTTCAAGCCCTCGTGTAGGAGAAAATCGGACACGGAAAGGGCTTGAATTATTCGAGTTACAAATGTTCATGTCAAAGTCCAATAAATTCCAGAAAACAGACCTTTCCTGGGATTTATTTCTATTCTCTGTGTCTTTGTTGATATAAAACTTTTTTGACCTTTGCATTTTTTACTTGGTATTGTTTCAAGCAATTAACAAGTTTAAAAAATCCTTTACAATGTTTTATGTTCAAAGGTTTATACCTAATATATGAGTAAAAAACCTGAATGTGTTAAAGCTTCATTTTATTCAAAGAAGGAAAAAACATTTTTTTCAAAAAAATGTCTCTGGGGGAAAATACTAGTAAATGATGAATATTCAGTACAAATCACTTTCTGTTTTAATTGTAAGATTGTTTCTAAAAAGGTGATCAGGATCTTTAAATCCTGATTTTCACTTATCTAATATTTATACCAAAAAATTTGTGAACTTTAGACTTTTACATATGAATATATATTACAGATAAGATGAATTACACAGAAAGACCTGCAGTAGCCGTATTACCCCTCGGTACAGGGAATGATTTAGCCAGATGTTTACGTTGGGGTGGGGGTAAGTACTAACAACTAAATAGCTCATTTCTGGCACAAATTTTGCTAAATTAACACAGAGTTAAAAATTGCACTAAATAGTTTGTTCTCCATTGGTTACATTATATATAATACACATGTGTAAATATCATTTTGGTGATGGTTGCATTTTTTGCTATTTCTCAGAGTCTGTATAAAAATTAAGATAACACTTCATAAAATTGGTGTGTCAGGAGATTTGTTTTAGAATTAAGTTATTGGTGATCAACATTACACTCTTACAATGAAAGCAGCAATCCTAGGTGAGACACAGGGTTCCAAGGAATCTTTTACAAATTTTTCTGTGCATCACATAGTTTATTAGTAATTGGATTCTCTTTTAAGGTTATGAAGGAGAGAGTTTGAACAAGATTTTATTCCGTGTATCACATAGCTTACCAATAATGATGGATAGATGGAAGATTGATTTCAGTAAACCAGAAGAAGGAGAAGAGGAGGAAGGGGATCCCATACCTTATAACATTATCAATAATTATTTCTCCATTGGAGTTGTAAGTCTTAGTGATTATAGCATTGTCAATAATTATATTTCTACTGGAGTTAAATGAGTAGAAAAACTAGTTTAACCCTCCAAAATGTTCATGTGCCTGGCCCAACACCTATACATGGTATAAAAATTCTTTAAAATCTTTATTTCTTGATAAAATCTCTTGACTATGGCTTATTGTGAAAATTAGACAAGTTCTAATTGAGTTATCCCCTTTGAATAAAGAAAAAGCTATTAATTTTCAGGCATATTGATATTGAGCATGTGCCTCAAAGACCCAGCAGAGTATCTATCCAGTGAAGGGGAAGCCCTGCCTAAGATTTTAAGAGTGCTCCAAAAGTTTTATTTTTGTATATTGGGGCTCTGTTTTTACAAATTTGGTTTCCAGGTTAATATGACTTTTTTTTTATTGTTCATCAACATGATCAATATTATTTGGTATGTCAGGGAGCATCCATCCATGTGCAGTTTGTGGAGCATGGGTTGACCGTGCCAAATTCCTACTTGTAATCATATTATTGGTATTCTCCTGTTCTTGTTTAAGTTACTAGGTTTGTATTTGCCATTGTTTTTGATGGTGTTTTCTTAGTTTACAGATATGTTTATGCGTGCTTTTTCGACCGCAAAAAAAAATTGCGGTCATCTATTGGTATGACGTTGGTGTCGTCGTCCAAAGACACATTTGGTTTCCGAACAATAACTTTAGTTTAAGTGAATGGATCTCTATGAATTTTTACCAGAAGGTTCAATACCACAAAAGGAAAGTTGGGATTGATTTTGGGGGTGTTAGTACCAACAGTTTAGGAATTAGGGGCCAAAAATAAGCATTTTTGTAGTTTCCAGACAATAATTTGTGTGTTAGTGTATGGATCTCTCTGAAATTGTACAACAAGGTTCTATATCACAAAGGGAAGGCTGGGATTGAGTTTGGGGTTAATTGCCCCAAACGTTCAGGAATTGGGGGCCAAAAACAAGCATTTTTCTAGTTTCCAGACAATAACTTGTGTTTAAATGTATGGTTCTCTCTAAAATTGTACTACAAGGTTCCATACCATAAAGGGAAGGCTGGGATTGAGTTTGGGGTAATTTCTCCAAAAGGGGGGTGGGGGGTTCAAAAAGTTGGGATTTTTTTTTTCCAATTTTTTTGGGGGAGGGGTTCATTTTTTTTCTTGAAAATTTTTGAAATCTTCAATTGCTCAGTATTGTGCAATATCACAGTATAGCACAATAGCAAGAAATCTTCAATTGCACAGTATTGCGCAATAGCACAGTATTGCACAATAGCACAGTATTGAGCAATAGCAAGAAATCTTCAACTGCACAGTATTGCGCAATAGCAAGAAATCTTCAATTGCACAGTATTGCGCAATAGCAAAAAATCTTCAATTGCGCAGTATTGCGCAATAGCAAGAAATCTTCAATTGCACAGTATTGTACAATACCAAGAAATCTTCAATTGCACAGTATTTCGCAATAGCAAGAAATCTTCAATTGGAAACAAATACAAATGTTTTAACCAATTTTGATGGGACTACTTAAGTCTTTAATTTTTGGGGGTTCTAACCTTGTATAATTTTTTTGGATATTGGGCCCCATTTTTAAATTGGTCTACATTGAGGTCAAAAGTGTCCAAAAATAAACTTTGTTTGATTTCATCAAAAACTGAACTTTTGCGGCTGTATGATATGCTGAATCTTATTGTGCATTTAGATTTTTATTTTGGGCCCTGTTTTCAAATTAGTTCATATTAAGGTTTGAAGGGTCCAAAATTAAACTTTGTTTGATTTCAACTAAAATTAAATTATTGGTGTTTTTTTTTATATGCTGAATCTAACCATGTTGTTAGATTTTGGATATCAGACCATTCTAGGTAAATTAAATGTCCCATTTCAAATTTTTAAGATCTTTGACCACATTTATTTTGTGTCAGAAACCTATATTATGTCAAAAATTTGATCACAATCCAAATTCAGAAAGTATCAAGATTGAATGTTGTGTCCCAACTTGCCCCAACTGTTCAGGGTTCGACCTCTGCTGTCATATCAGGCTGCGCTCAGCGAAGCATTTTATTGGTGTTTTGTTGGTTGCTGTCTCCAGGTCAATTATACCACAGTTTCCTGATAGTTTTATTGAATCTTGTAGACGTTAGGTAAGAACTACTGGTTGCATTTTGCTGTTAGATTATTGCCTCATTTATTTATACCACACAGATTTTTTATTTGTACCTTTAAGTACAAATTATAAGGATTAATGTTGGGAAGTATAGTCTCTCTGTGACTTTGAGATGTAGAACTGCAATAAAAATCTCTTTTCCTTTGCTTGAGATTTTGTTAAGTGTGTGTAGGGATTTAGTGTTATTAGTTGATGCACAATACCACTTCTTTTCCACTCTATTGTTGGCAGGGTGATATGTATGGTGTTGTCAGTCAAGATAACAGTTCTGTCATACTGTAATCACTAGCCAGTCAACACTGAGGTTGTGAGTTCGTACCCTGCTCATGCGGGTACACTCGACTCCAATCTTAATTGACTAGGATTGTCAGTTTTCCTACCAAAGGTAATGGTTTTCTCGGGGGACTCTGGCTTCCTCCACCAATAAAAACTGACTTTCATGAAATAGCACAATAGTGTTGAAAGTCGCTTTAAACACCAATCCATTGATCTGTCATACATGCAACACTTGCATGACTTGACATTACAGTTGTTTCTTTTTGCCATTTTTTTATCTCGGCTTTGATGCTTTTGTAATAAAAAAAATTACACAGGAGAAGTTATCTTGTTTCATACTACACTAAGAATGGTACAACTCATTTATAAGTAAATCCATTGTATTAAAGAATAAAAACACAGTCACATTTGTCAAAAAATCATTATGAAATCATTATATATATGTTTTTACTCTATATTTATGAAGTTTGGAAACAGTTAGAAACTCCCATAACAGAAAACTGAGGATGTTGGTTTTTTTTTATTATTATAGAAGTATTTTTTGAAAAAAAAAAAAATATTCATATGTATTTCTATCAGAATGTAAAATAAATTTGAAATTACTTTGATTTGATTTATCGGTTATATCGTTATCGGGAAGACAACCTTTTTGCTGCACTGGTTATTTTATATATATCGAACTGAGCAGCAGACTGAAAACAACGTCTTGCATTGATTGTATCACCCATCATCTGATGTGCAATACCAAGACAGACTATGAAATTTAATGAAGGATGTCCATGTAAAATTTCATGTTTAAAATAATCAATAATGATCTCATGTAAAATTTGATGAAATGTTCTACATGATGTAATATCACCTTGATGGTAGTAACACAGGAAAGTCAGAAATACCCCAAACACTGCGGGTTCAATAAACATGATATTGTCTGTAACATCCATTTGTAGTTCTTGTGGAATATATAAGGACTTTTGTTGAAAGTAAGCAGAACCAAGTGTTAGTATTTTTAATACCTTATGAGGTCTTTTTTTTTTTATTGAATTCAGCACAGATTCCTGGTTTGGATTTACACCATTCCATTCTGCCATTTGATCCATCAATTTCTCTTTTAAAACATATTCTAGTATACTTAATGATGTTAAGTAATTTTTATGAACATAAAAGAAAGAGGCCAACTTCAGCCATCCAGATACTGCATCTGATTGTGTTCCTATCAACAGATGACTCAGGTCATGTTTGTATTTATAATATTGATGTTTGTTGTTTGAATTTGGTAGTTGTTGTAAAGTCTCTGTTTCTAACTGATATGCTTGTGAAAGAAATATTGTAAAGATGCCTCTTGATAACATTGTTCTTGAATGATGTAGCAAGTTTTTTAGCATGGCTACATGACAGTTTTTGGAAATATTTATAGGATAATCATGCATTGAGTATGTTTTCATCCTTGAGACGTTGATTACTAAGGGTAGTCTTGTAAAATCATGCAGAGTCTGTGAATTTATGAAACAGTGAATTCCTTGTTCATATGAATTCTTTAGGATATTGTTTATTTTAAGTTTGTTGTCACTATTAAATCGTAAATAAAACAAATTATTGTCAGGAATAAAATAATGTAATAAAGTTGAATATTCAACACAGTATAGCAGTCTTTGTAAGCAAGCCATGAAGCATGGTATAATATTGTCTGGTCTCCAAACTGAGGGGTCTGATTCTTCTAATATCCAAAACATCAAAGTCTTCAGGAAATAGGAACACAATAAACCTTTCAAATGTTGGTGCATGTCTACAATTTCTTTGAGCAGGATTTTTAACAAGGCATATACTAATAACTGAGTATGACTGAAGGAAATATTAGAAATTTTTCAGCAACAGAAAAAGACATTCTCCATTCGAGATTTTCATTGGTGGATCCTTTGCAGCCAATTGGTACAAATAACACACCACAGGATGCTATTTTAGTAATAAGTTCTGGTGTAGGCCATGTTGTGCGTGGCCTACTAACCCATGAGTGTGCTTGAGTTATCCATGTAACACATTTAAGGCAAAATGCTAAATCATATAGATCATTCGGATCTGATAAACATGGTCCATGAATTTTATTTAGTGAAAACATTCTTTTTAGATAAAAAGATTTATATAGTTCATTTGAGAGCTTATTCATCAGACAAGTTTTCTTTAGAATAATTTTTTCAGATTTTGAATGGAAAATGTAGTCATCTGGAAGACGTAATTGTGTGAAACATGGATGTGTATCCTCTGTATCCATAACTAGAGGAATCCCATAGAATTGAAGAACAGAATCTCTTTCTGATTCAAAAACTGTAAATATAGGATCAATATACATCATATCAAGGTCACTGCCTTTTAAGTCTAGTCCTTCACCTTTACTTCCACTACTTATCTTTGGTATGTCTGCTTTACCAAAGTCACTTATAATAAAAGCCAATCTCCTTACTCTAACTTCCTCCTCAGAACCAACCTTCTGGCAAAGGTACTCATAAAAATGAACGGATAGACTTTTATCTATGGACATTTTCACTGGTATCTCTCAAGTCTGTAAAATGTATAATAATTTTCATACAGTTTAGATTACATTAAATTAAATGTAAATTCAAAAATTTTTAATGCATATATTGTTTAAAATCTTCTACAAATTAAGAATAATGCAACATAAGTTAATATGGCAATTCCTGTACATAACGAAGTAAAATAGCATCTGGTAAAACTATTGCCAAGGTCAGTCGATGATATTTTCTCCATTCTGACACAGCCTACTGAATTATATTTAAGGTATACATAGCATGAATGAAATTACAGATATTATATTGTAATCTGAGTAAACTAAACATTTACTAAAATTTGAATATAAGTCACCAGTTCTGTGCTTAAAAATTCTTTTAAAAAGGGTGAACATGGATGCATATATTTAGTTTTAAGTTTAAGTGTTAATTTAAAGTCAATAGATAAGATAAAAGAATTCTTACCTTTAGGTTTATTATTAATCTTTCTCCCTTTTGTAAAATAGGCAGAGGTTTTATTGTACAATAGAAAATTTACATTGCCAAAAGTCCTACTGACTTATAGCTAGAAAGTGCTAGAAATGATGATGAAAACTCCTACTGACATATATATATTAGCTAGTAATTTCTAGAAATGATGATTAAATGACAAAATTTCCAAGAAGGAAAGTAGTAATATTGTTTTAATAAGTAGGGATTTTCTCTATCAGTTTATGAAATCTTAAGAGAAACAAGTGTAAATGATGAGGTTCTGCAAGGGAAGTACAGAGAAACAAGTGTAAATGATGAGGTTCTGCAATGGGAGTACAGAGAAACAAGTATAAATGATGAGGTTCTACAAGGGGAGTTCAGAGAAACAAGTGTAAATGATGAGGTTCTGCAATGGGAGTACAGAGAAACAAGTGTAAATGATGAGGTTCTACAAGGGGAGTTCAGAGAAACAAGTGTAAATGATGAGGTTCTGCAAGGGGAGTACAGAGAAACAAGTGTAAATGATGAGGTTCTGCAAGGGGAGTACAGAGAAACAAGTGTAAATGATGAGGTTCTGCAAGGGGAGTACAGAGAAACAAGTGTGAATGATGAGGTTCTGCAATGGGAGTACAAAGAAACAAGTGTAAATGATGAGGTTCTACAAGGGGAGTTCAGAGAAACAAGTGTTAATGATGAGGTTCTACAAGGGGAGTACAGAGAAACAAGTGTACATAATGAGGTTCTGCAAAGGGAATACAAATAAATCATATGCATTACATTTGTTGAAGTTATTGTATTTTTTAAAACAGTTTTGTAACAGGTAATTGGTGGTGACAAAGTTTGAGAGAATGATAAACCACTTTCTATCTGTCACAAAAAACTTGTAACCCAAAAAAAAAAAAAAATTCCTATTGAATAACACTCCCACAAAATTAAAAATGACCAAACAAAGGTATAAAACTGTATGTCGGGTTGTTGTCTCTTTGACACATTCCCCATTTCCATTCTCAATTTTATGGTTTAAAAAAGAGAGTATTGCTACCATAAGAACCTATTACCCTTTATGTTTATGCTTTCTTGTAAAGTTTGTCAGTTGAGTGAGATTAAATGAATAATTGTTAAAAAACAAAGGGATAATACATTAAAGTTAATGAATTTACTCAACATTTTTATTAAGTCACATGACCTATCTGTTGTGGTTATTGTCACTCTTCTGTATATTATTAGAATAACCTTTCCCTCTGAAACCACCAGGCCAATTGAAACCAAACTTGATTGCAATCCTCTTAAGGGTATCTAGTTTCAAATGTATTCTTGTCATTTCTGCCAATCAACATGGACAAGGCTACTAAAATGAGAACATGAAGGAAAAAAAACAGGCAAAGTGGTATTTTTTTCTGGCTTTCGTTGTAAATATTAAATTTCAGTTCTGGTTGTGTGATAAGAACATATACATCTTTGGTCTCTGGTGGAGAGTTGTCTCATTTGCAATCATACCATATCTTCTTATTTTTATATATATACATGTTTGGTCTCTGGTGGAGAGTTGTCTCATTTGCAATCATACCATATCTTCTTATTTATATATATATATATACATGTTTGGTCTCTGGTGGAGAGTTGTCTCAGTGGCAGTCATACCATATCTTCTTATTTTTATATATATATATACATGTTTGGTCTCTGGTGGAGAGTTGTCTCAGTGGCAATTATACCATATCTTCTTATTTTTATATATATATATACATGTTTGGTCTCTGGTGGAGAGTTGTCTCAGTGGCAATCATACCTTATCCCCGGCTTAGTATATTTCTAGGATTTTGATTGGTTAACGCACGTCGTTACAAAACCCATAGCCCCTGGGTGTTGCTAACCAATATACCCGGACGTTGCTACCCATTACAACGGGGAACATCACACGCGTTTTCCTTAGTTCCATGGTTGTTCCTTGTGAAATATCGAATTCTGTAGATTATCCATGATGTCTGTAATTAAATATTTAATCAACTAACGATTTTATCTTATTATGTCGATCATTTGCACTCATTTTAGTAAATGCATCACTTGGCTGCCACATTGTCATTGAATTGGACTACTGACCTAGCTATGCAAATGACCCACGTTGACGTCACACCGTCTATGATGTAATTCTCACAACATTGAGCGCCATATTCGACCCATTCCCGTTTCTCTGTCTCTGGATTTAAAACATCTTATAATTGACTACCTGTAGGGTTCTACCACAGGTAGTACCTTACACCCCGTTAAAAATATGTCAAATTCCCAAATTTCAATAAAAGATTTTTAAAAAATGGAAAAAAAAACGTTGCTTTCACGTCACATTTTGTGGTTGAATTTCTCTAAAAATCGCAAGATTTGGACTAAGACCGGGGATAAATTCGTTATCTACGTTCATATCCGTAGATATGGATATTTTAACACCCTTCAGTACCCTGTACACTCTTCGGCTTCGCCTCAGGGTGTACTTGGATACTTCAGGGTGTTAAAATATCCATATCTACTGATATGAACGTAGATAACTTATAATATCTTCTTATTTTTTTATCTATACATGTTTGGTCTCTGGTGGAGAGTTGTCTCAGTGGCAATCATACCATATCTTCTTATTTTTTATATATACATGTTTGGTCTCTGGTGGAGAGTTGTCTCAGTGGCAATCATACCATATCTTCTTGTTTTTTTATATATACATGTTTGGTCTCTGGTGGAGAGTCGTCTCAGTTGCAATCATACCATATCTTCTTATTTTTTATATATACATGTTTGGTCTCTGGTGGAGAGTTGTCTCAGTGGCAATCATACCATATCTTCTTGTTTATTTATATATACATGTTTGGTCTCTGGTGGAGAGTTGTCTCAGTGACAATCATACCATATCTTCATATTTTTTATATATACATGTTAGGTCTTTGGTGGAGAGTTGTCTCAGTGGCAATCATACCTTATCTTCTTATTTTTTATATATACACGTTAGGTCTTTGGTGGAGAGTTGTCTCAGTGGCAATCATACCATATCTTCATATTTTTTATATATACATGTTTGGTCTCTGGTGGAGAGTTGTCTCAGTGGCAATCATACCATATCTTCTTATTTTTTATATATACATGTTAGGTCTCTGGTGGAGAGTTGTCTCAGTGGCAATCATACCATATCTTCTTATTTTTATATATACCTGTTAGGTCTCTGGTGGAGAGTTGTCTCAGTGGCAATCATACCATATCTTCTTATTTTTATATATACCTGTTAGGTCTCTGGTGGAGAGTTGTCTCAGTGGCAATCATACCATATCTTCTTATTTTTATATATAGTTGGAGATAAATACTGAATATTGTTCCAGTTGTCCTTGTGCTATTGACCTGATAACTGCCTGTAGACATATATTTTTTTTTAAATAGCTGTTTGTTTTTTCCAACCTTGTCAGCCAGCCTTGAGGATAATGTGATATGTGTAATGAGAAGATAGGTCTCATGTGTTAGTTTTGGGTTTCTTTAAAATTATAGTTTTCTCTTCTTTCTGTATTTCTATAGTGTAGTATGCTCAGATTTAGTATTTAGGTATGAACTACCTACTTACAGATAACATGATAAATCTATTTTACTTCATTTATTTTCGTGATTTAAGGAAAACGAAGTCTGCACACAAGTCTATAGGAAATTTGTCATTCGTTGAACATTTAATTTTGTGGTTCACCTGTACCCACGAAATCCACGAAAATTGGTATCCAACAAATAATAACGAATACACAGTAGTTGAAGAGATCTTTGATATATGAACAACCAAACTTTTACTTATACAGTTGGAAGAATACATTTAATAGTTTGAAATGAGAAGTTCAGGTCCTTTATTGAAGTGAGTATGCAAGTGATCTCAGGTTAAGCTGGATTTCAGAAACCCTTGTCTTTTTGTTCATGTGCTAATTAATTTTGTGACCTTTTGACCATTTTCAGGTTGGATATGATTTTGAAGTTGGTACAAAATAATTTTTCTTTCCTTTTAGTTGCAGCAAATAAATAGATTATCTCCCTTTGTATATATTTCAGGATGCTTCCATATGTCATCGATTCCATGTAATGAGAGAAAAACATCCAGAAAAATTCAACAGCAGGTAATTTTACAAGTAAAAATAATTAGAACAAATGGTTTTGGTTTTTTTTTTATCAGTTTTTATTCATTTGTTTGAAAAAAGAAATAGTAAGATCTGCAGTATATAAATGTCAATTACAATAATCTAAAACCAAATGAGAAAATTATAAAAATCAAAAGGATGGAAGAAAGGTTGAATTGTGTAAATTAGAAATAAATTCCATGCAAAACTATAGCATCATACAAAAACAATTGTTTGCTGAATTAGAACAAAGACATGATAGTATGACTTTAAATTATATAGAATTATGTGTTTGGTTATTCAGGTAACATATTACCTGCTGTTTCAACTCAAAAACCTATCTAAGTCAAAACTGAAACAAAAACAACTTACCTCGAATCTTTACCTATTATGTTAGCTTTTTGCTTTTATCATATTAATTGTTGGTTTACTGCTGCATTGACATATTTTCCAAATCTCCCTTTTATTCATATTTTCAAGGTAATTACTATTGCTTTAGGGCTTCTATTGTTTTGCATTTCATGCAAACTGCATAAATTGCTTAAACAGTTTTATTTTGAGATCTTCTCATTAATATTTAGAAATAAACATGTACTCAAACAGATACTTGTTACAAAGATGTTACTGTTGGTTTAGTTTATTTTTGGGTGGGTCAAAGAAGGCTTTTATCAAGTGTGAAAATGGCCATTGCTTTTATCTCAAAAACTAGAACAGACAGGTAGATACTGTAAACACCAATTCAAAATCTTACAAAACAATTGTTTGCTGAATTAGAACAAAGACATGATAGTATGACTTTAAATTATATAGAATTATGTGTTTGGTTATTCAGGTAACATATTACCTGCTGTTTCAACTCAAAAACCTATCTAAGTCAAAACTGAAACAAAAACAACTTACCTCGAATCTTTACCTATTATGTTAGCTTTTTGCTTTTATCATATTAATTGTTGGTTTACTGCTGCATTGACATATTTTCCAAATCTCCCTTTTATTCATATTTTCAAGGTAATTACTATTGCTTTAGAGCTTCTATTGTTTTGCATTTCATGCAAACTGCATAAATTGCTTAAACAGTTTTATTTTGAGATCTTCTCATTAATATTTAGAAATAAACATGTACTCAAACAGATACTTGTTACAAAGATGTTACTGTTGGTTTAGTTTATTTTTGGGTGGGTCAAAGAAGGCTTTTATCAAGTGTGAAAATGGCCATTGCTTTTATCTCAAAAACTAGAACAGACAGGTAGATACTGTAAACACCAATTCAAAATCTTACAAAACAATTGTTTGCTGAATTAGAACAAAGACATGATAGTATGACTTTAAATTATATAGAATTATGTGTTTGGTTATTCAGGTAACATATTACCTGCTGTTTCAACTCAAAAACCTATCTAAGTCAAAACTGAAACAAAAACAACTTACCTCGAATCTTTACCTATTATGTTAGCTTTTTGCTTTTATCATATTAATTGTTGGTTTACTGCTGCATTGACATATTTTCCAAATCTCCCTTTTATTCATATTTTCAAGGTAATTACTATTATATTTGAAAAAATTGTGGGAAAAGGGGAAATGAGGGTCACAAAGGAGTGGTTAACTTTGTTACATTTGTAAAGCAGGATTAAGTAGAGGTAAAACAGGGGAATAGTAGTACTTACTAGATAAATCTGGTAAAACAGGGGAATAGTAGTACTTACTAGATAAATCTGGTAAAACAGGGGAATAGTAGTACTTACTAGATAAATCTGGTGAAACAGGGGAATAGTAGTACTTACTAGATAAATCTGGTAAAACAGGGGAATAGTAGTACTTACTAGATAAATCTGGTGAAACAGGGGAATAGTAGTACTTACTAGATAAATCTGGTGAAACAGGGGAATAGTAGTACTTACTAGATAAATCTGGTGAAACAGGGGAATAGTAGTACTTACTAGATAAATCTGGTGAAACAGGGGAATAGTAGTACTTACTAGATAAATCTGGTAAAACAGGGGAATAGTAGTACTTACTAGATAAATCTGGTAAAACAGGGGAATAGTAGTACTTACTAGATAAATCTGGTGAAACAGGGGAATAGTAGTACTTACTAGATAAATCTGGTAAAACAGGGGAATAGTAGTACTTACTAGATAAATCTGGTAAAACAGGGGAATAGTAGTACTTACTAGATAAATCTGGTAAAACAGGGGAATAGTAGTACTTACTAGATAAATCAGGGGAATAGTAGTACTTACTAGATAAATCAGGGGAATAGTAGTACTTACTAGATAAATCTGGTAAAACAGGGGAATAGTAGTACTTACTAGATAAATCTGGTAAAACAGGGGAATAGTAGTACTTACTAGATAAATCTGGTGAAACAGGGGAATAGTAGTACTTACTAGATAAATCTGGTAAAACAGGGGAATAGTAGTACTTACTAGATAAATCTGGTAAAACAGGGGAATAGTAGTACTTACTAGATAAATCTGGTGAAACAGGGGAATAGTAGTACTTACTAGATAAATCTGGTAAAACAGGGGAATAGTAGTACTTACTAGATAAATCTGGTAAAACAGGGGAATAGTAGTACTTACTAGATAAATCTGGTAAAACAGGGGAATAGTAGTACTTACTAGATAAATCAGGGGAATAGTAGTACTTACTAGATAAATCAGGGGAATAGTAGTACTTACTAGATAAATCTGGTAAAACAGGGGAATAGTAGTACTTACTAGATAAATCTGGTAAAACAGGGGAATAGTAGTACTTACTAGATAAATCTGGTGAAACAGGGGAATAGTAGTACTTACTAGATAAATCTGGTAAAACAGGGGAATAGTAGTACTTACTAGATAAATCTGGTAAAACAGGGGAATAGTAGTACTTACTAGATAAATCAGGGGAATAGTAGTACTTACTAGGTAAATCAGGGGAATAGTAGTACTTACTAGGTAAATCAGGGGAATAGTAGTACTTACTAGATAAATCTGGTAAAACAGGGGAATAGTAGTACTTACTAGATAAATCAGGGGAATAGTAGTACTTACTAGGTAAATCAGGGGAATAGTAGTACTTACTAGGTAAATCAGGGGAATAGTAGTACTTACTAGATAAATCAGGGGAATAGTAGTACTTACTAGGTAAATCAGGGGAATAGTAGTACTTACTAGATAAATCTGGTAAAACAGGGGAATAGTAGTACTTACTAGATAAATCTGGTAAAACAGGGGAATAGTAGTACTTACTAGATAAATCAGGGGAATAGTAGTACTTACTAGGTAAATCAGGGGAATAGTAGTACTTACTAGGTAAATCAGGGGAATAGTAGTACTTACTAGATAAATCTGGTAAAACAGGGGAATAGTAGTACTTACTAGATAAATCAGGGGAATAGTAGTACTTACTAGGTAAATCAGGGGAATAGTAGTACTTACTAGGTAAATCAGGGGAATAGTAGTACTTACTAGATAAATCAGGGGAATAGTAGTACTTACTAGGTAAATCAGGGGAATAGTAGTACTTACTAGATAAATCTGGTAAAACAGGGGAATAGTAGTACTTACTAGATAAATCAGGGGAATAGTAGTATTACTAGGTAAATCAGGGGAATAGTAGTACTTACTAGATAAATCAGGGGAATAGTAGTACTTACTAGGTAAATCAGGGGAATAGTAGTACTTACTAGATAAATCAGGGGAATAGTAGTACTTACTAGGTAAATCAGGGGAATAGTAGTACTTACTAGATAAATCAGGGGAATAGTAGTACTTACTAGATAAATCAGGGGAATAGTAGTACTTACTAGATAAATCAGGGGAATAGTAGTACTTACTAGATAAATCAGGGGAATAGTAGTACTTACTAGATAAATCTGGTAAAACAGGGGAATAGTAGTACTTACTAGATAAATCTGGTAAAACAGGGGAATAGTAGTACTTACTAGATAAATCTGGTGAAACAGTTTTAAAGAAAAAAGAGGAACAAAACAGAAAGGGGAAACTTTGAAATTTTAAGATGTGAAACCTTGAAGAAAGAAAAATATGAAATGGGAATTAATTGGAGAATATATGGATGAATGTCACCCTTCCTGTACTTTCTGTTTTCATTGCAACAACACACTTAATGTTTGTTAACAAGAATTGACTTTTACATTCAGAGTGCAAATTTTGTAAAATTGAATGTTTTTTTTTAATTTCAGGATGAAAAATAAACTCTGGTATTTTGAATTTGGAACGTCCGAAACTTTATCTGCAACTTGTAAAGCTTTACATGAAAATATTGATATAATGGTGAGTGAAATATTATTTTTAGATCTTTTCAAATACTTCTAGGAGTTAGGAATATTGAGGACAATAACATCAACTAAAATATATGCTTTGCAATTAAATGAATCAGAAATTTGGAATTTTTTTTTGGGGTGAGTGGAACTTTTATTTATGGGCATATATGTATGGGAGGTTGACAACAAAGATTATTTCCTTATTCAATTGTGATAGTTTCATTTCCCTGTTACAGCTGATATACTTGAGTGTGTACAAGGAATGATAAAGTTAGTTTGTTTGTAAATCCCTATTTCCTTTGTTTACTTCCCAGTGAAAAATTTACATTAGTTATTGCTATTCATTCAGATCATCAGACAGATAACAAAATAGATGTAAAAAAAACTGTTTGGATATAAAAATAAGAAGATGTGGTATGATTGCCAATGAGACAACTCTCCACCAGAGATCAAATGACAAAGAAGTTTACAATTATAGGTCACCATACAGCCTTCAACAATGAGCAAAACCCATATCGCATAGTCAGCTATAAAAGACCCTCAAATGACAAATGTTAAACAATTCAAATCGGAAAACTAACAGCCTGATTTATGTACAAATCAAATATGATATACAGCAACAAATAGTTTGTTTCTTTACTTACAATAATTAATAAAGAAATCATGGTTCACCTGACAAAGAAACAAACTTTACTTGTATGTATAATTACACACTCAAAATTATCGGCTGTAAATGGTGGGATAAAGAATATTTCAAACCAGTGAAAATGTAGATATGTTATAATGAAAGATTTGATTTAATTCTTTGATAATGTACACTTGAGACCGTCAGTATGAGCGTCTTAAAGGAAAAGATATAAAGCTATTTTGTAGCCCGTTGAATTCAAATCAAGTTTTATGAATCTGTCAATTAATTTATCCTTAAGATATTGACATTCAGAAGAAATTATTATGTCAGCCATCAATGTTAATATGTTTGAGTAAAGATTGGACAAAATGTTACAGGCTTGATATCTATATTTAGTAGTGAATGACAAATGCATCTATCTGTTCTACCAACAATTATGGACAAAGGAAGATAACTCAATGCAAAATATTGCCTTTAAAATGTAAAATGAAAGCAACCTTTAGCCCTCTGTGCTCAGACACAAGCACTTTGATTGAATTTTGTCTTGGATCTTTGCTTGCTTTAGGGCTTCTTTTGTTTTGCATTTCATGCAAACTGCATAAATTGCTGAAAAAGTTTTATTTTGAGATCTTCTCATTAATATTTAGAAATAAACATGTACTCAAACAGATATTTGTTACAAAGATGTCACTGTTGGTTTAGTTTAAATTTGGGTAGGTCAAAGAAGGCTTTTATCAAGTGTGAAAATGGCCATTGCTATTATCTCAAAAATTATAATAGAATAGATACTGTAAACAGCAAAAATGATCACCAATACAAAATAAAACAAAAATGCCAAATGGCTGAAACCATTGGATGACCCCTTATAAGAGTTTATACTCTTAAATGAACATTTTTCACTAATTTTTCAAATTTTGTTGCCTATTATCTCAAAAACTTTAATAGATAAGTAGTAAAAGTAAACAGCAAAACTGATCAGTAATACAAAATATGTTTTTGACAGGGGAGTGATTCAGGCTCTTAGAGGCCTCTTTTTTACAATTTCAGAGGCAACTCTTATCATGCTTCCTCCTTTAATGATACATGTAAGGTTTCTGTTACACTACCCATGCTGTTGCTTTTTGATATTTAACAATTAAATGTCTTGTTAAATGATAATGCAAATATTCAAGTCAACATTGAAACAATTTTCTGTGGATTTATTTTTATTTGAGGAATATTAATTTTTGTGGATTTTGTGGGTAAATGTGAAGCACAAATTAAAAAGTTTTACAAAGTACAAATTTCGATAAGCTTGTATGCAGATTTTGGCAAAACTATGATAAGGAATATCCACAAAATACAATTTTTTCTCAATCAACGCAAAAATTGGAACCCACAAGAATAAATGAATCCACAGTAATATAATGTTATATCTATGTCATTGATACCATTGTTTTGCAGTGTGATGGTGTATCATTGGACCTTGCCAATGGTCCACGCTTAGAGGGCATAGCTGTACTTAATATTCCTAGTATATATGGAGGAACAAATCTTTGGGGAGACAACCCCAGTCAGAAAAAACGACGCAAAGCTCAAAAGAATGCCAAAAAAGACAAAGACAAAGAATTTTCTACGAGTAGCATGTCTTCTGCAGAACTAGCTATTGCAGTTCAAGGTTTGTTTCTATGATAAATTTTAACCATAATGTAATTTTTAAACCAAGGTAAATGTGGATATTTTTGTCATTTTAATGCATACTATTTTTGTGTTGGAGTTAGATTTGCACATCAACAAACTTCAGCCTTCACATCAATATTATTGCTTCCTACAAACCATTTGTTATTGCTAAATAAGTCAAAATAACCCTTTGCAAAAGATTTTACGTTTACTGTATCAGACATTTTTTTAGGAAGACAGCCAGTTATTTGTATTATTTATTCTTACAGATGAATTTATCTTCATCCTATTATTCTGTTAATTTTTATAAGTTTGAAAATAACTTACTTTTAAGTCAATGATAGAAGAAAGGTAACATATTTCTTTTTCCTAGTCTTCTTTAAGGTATCCTTGTATGAGTTATTGCCTTTAAATGATGATTTTTACCCATTTTTGGCAATAATCTTGAGAACTATAATAGAAAGAGAGAAAAATGATCAACAAACTAAAATATTCAAAAAGTTCTACATGACTAAAATGTTAATTGACCGACTGGAAGTAATTGCCCTTGATATAAGCTAAGGAGCCTCTTGTTCTGAAATAATTTCTATTTTATATGCTTCTGTTTTCCCTTTTTCATTGTTCCCTGCGCAACACTTTGCAGGGGGACGTAGAAATACCGGCCATCTGTCCGGTCTTGTTAGTGCTCTCCCATGTACTAATCTTGGCAGATTTTTATTAAACTTATGTCATAGGTTTATATCAGCAATGTCTTGGACGAGTTCAAAAATCAGTGCCGATCAATTATTTTTAAAAGAGTTATGCCCTTTGGAAACATTAATTATATGGAAAATTGCATCGTAGTGCTCTCATGTGTTCAATTCTTGCCAGAGATTTATGAAATTATATTGTAGGTTTATGTCAGTGATGTCTTGGACAAGTTAGAAAATCTGTGACCATCAATTATTTTTAATAGAGTTATGCCCCTTAATTATAAGGAAAATTGCCTTGTGAGCACTCTCATGTGTACAATTCTTGCCAGATTTTTATGAAATTTATTTTATAGGTTAATATCATTAATGTCTTGGATGAGTTGAAAATCTTTGCTGATCAATTATTTTTAAAAGAGTTATGCCCCTTGGTGATATTAATTATATGAAAAATTGCATAGTTAGCGCTCTCATTTGCACGATTCTTGCCAAAATTTATGAAATTTATATCATAGGTTTATATCAGCAATGTCTTTGACACTTTTGAAAACAAGTGCTGATCTAATATTTTTAACGAGTTATGCCCCTATGAAATGTTAATTATATTGGAAATAACATTGAATTTGCTCTGAAGCATTCATTTTTCTAAGATATTTATTAACAGTTTTAAAGAAAAAAAAATAAAGTGTATTTATTAGTAATTGCCCTTGATCCTTGGATAGATTAAATATGTGCAAGGCGGGGGACATTGCAACTCTGTTCTTTTATTTCACTGGTCATGATAAAGAGGGGAGGACTCAACAACAAGTTAGCACCTGTGTTTATTGGTGTGTCAGTCTCGGTGTGTCAGTCCCTATTTATTGGTGTGTCAGTCTCTGTTTATTGGTGTGTCAGTCTCTGTTTATTGGTGTGTCAGTCCCTATTTATTGGTGTGTCAGTCCCTGTTTATTGGTGTGTCAGTCCCTGTTTATTGGTGTGTCAGTCTCTGTTTATTGGTGTGTCAGTCCCTGTTTATTGGTGTGTCAGTCCCAAATTGGGAAACTCATCAGTATTATAATAAGGAAATGTGGTATGATTGCCAATGAGACAACTATTGACCAGAGACCAAATGTCATGGATGCAAGCCATAGTATGGCCTTCAAAAATGAGCAAAACACATACCATATAGTATTAGCTTTAAAAGGCCTAGGCCTGACTTGACAAAATGTAAACAATCCAAACGAGAAAACCAACAGCCTGATAAATGGTGTGTTTTTTTGTCGAGCCTGCGACTTCTGTCGAAGAAAGCTCGACATAGGGATAGTGATCCAGCAGCGGGGGCAGCATTAACTAACTTCTTAAAAGCTTTATATTTTAGAAGGTGGAAGACCTAGATGCTTCATACTTTGTATATAGATGCCTTATGTTATGAAGTTTCTGTCTGTCATATGTCCATTGTCCTTGACCTCATTTTCATGGTTCAGTGACTACTTGAAAAAAGAGTTAAGATTTTTTGTAATGTTAATTTCTTTCTTATTATGAGTAATAGGATAACTTTATTTAGTATGTGCGTACCTTGCAAGGTTCTCATGCCTGTCAGACAGTTTTCATCTGACCTTGACCTCATTTCATGGATCAGTGAACAAGGTTAAGTTTTCGTGGTCAAGTCCATATATCAAATACTATAAGCAATAGGTCTACTATATTTGGTGTATGGAATGATTGTAAGGTGTACATGTCCAACTGGCAGGTGTCATCTGACCTTGACCTCAATTTCATGGTTCAGTGGTCAAAGTTAAGTTTTTGTGTTTTGGTCTTTCTTTTTTTTTTTCTAATACTATATGCAATAAGTCAACTATATTTGGTGTATGGAAATATTTTATGATGTACATGTCAGACTGGCAGGTTTTATTTAGGAATTGAATGCTTCTTTTTGTAACTTCATTGGGGTGTAAAAGCATTGATCGAAGTACATTTTGTAATGTGCACGGTCAACGCTTTTACACCCCTATGAAGTTACAAAAAGAAGCATTCAATACTTATAATTACATTTTTTAGCTAGGATCATGAAAACACGATTTTTATCAAGTTTTTATTTAATTTGCCTGTGCACTTTATTGTGGGACCTCCTGTCATCATGAATGATAAATTTTATTGTGTAATGAAGTTGATTAAGGAATAACGCGAGATTGCAGTGTAGCCAATTAGAATAACGTATTATAATGAAACATACATCTAATGTAATTATTTGACCTTGACCTTATTTTCACAGTTCATTGTTCAGTGTTAAGTTTTTGTGTTTTGGTCTGTTTTTCTTTAACAATAAGCAATAGGTCAACTATATTTGTTGTATGGAAAGATTGTAAGGTGTGTATGTCTGTCTGGCAGGTATCATCTGACCTTCACCTCATTTTCATGGTTCATTGGTCAAAGTTAAGTTTTCATGGTTAAGTTTATTTCTTAGATACTATAAGCAATAAGTAAACTATATTTAATTCATAGATTGATTGTAAGGTGTACATGTCTCTCTGGCATGGTTCATCTGACCTTGACCTCATTTTCTTGGTTCATTGGTCAATGTTTAGTTTTCCTGGAAACTATAAACAATATTGCTGTATTGAATGATTGCAAGGTGTACATGTATTTCCCGTTTGGTTTATCTGACCTTGACCTCATTTTCTTGGATCATGTTAAGGTTATGTGATACTTGTAGTAAAGCTTTATATTTATGACTATCAACATAAAATCAATGGTCAGTAAAGAAGGTGAGACATTTCAGCGTGTGACTCTATTTTTTAAGTATTTTTGCCCTTAACAGATATGTATAGATAGAGATGTAGGATGTATGTCAATGAAATAGGATACCAAAGTTTCAAATAAACATAAAACCTTCTTAAAGTCAACACACAATCTTCAACAATAAACAGGTGTCTGTACAATAAGTCAAGCTATATATATCTCCTTCATAGTCCATACTTGACTGAATATGACACAAGACAACCATTATTAAGGTTCCTGACAAGGGGGAAGGTACATGAACATGTGGTTGGGGATACACTAATTTTTTTTTATCTTAATTCTCCCCCTTTTTTTATCTCAATCATTGGACTAACAAAAGATACTTGACCTTATATGAATTTGGCTATTATTTAAGGTCCATTTTGGTCATATAGCTCTTCAACTGTTTCTGTTTTTTATACATCTTTGGCTTAAATATTTGGCTTTTCCTGATGAAGTTAAATCCAGAAAATCGGTATGGACACATGAAATACTTTTATTTTTTAAAGAAAATAAATAAAAAATCAGTGTATGAAAGCACCAAATAAAATACTAAGCCAATATCTTGGATGCTTTCAAATGATTGGGTATTGGTTTATTATTTCAGTGTAATTAATATTTCATAATACTGATTTAGAGTTGTGTCTCTATAATTGATTCCCTTTCTGTTTTTAATTTTTCTATATTGTCTTTGAAATTTCAACTGTACTATGACTAGGATATATAGCAAGCACAGGGAGCATGTTCAAATTTCTAATGAAGCAAAAAATCACCAAAAATTTATACAGAAAGATCACGTTTTAATGAAATTTGATCCTATTATTTCGGATATAATATCAATTATTGAAATATCAAAATATTCTTCAAAGAAACGTTTTACAGTTAACAAACGGAAGGATGAAATTTGTAACAAAATTTGTTAATTAATTGATAGGATGATAAATAAGAGGAAAATTTAATGGATGCATTACTTCACCAAGTATGTAGCAGTTAATTCATTAAATTGGTATTGTTTAAATTTGTAAAGACTTTTGATGTTGATACACAACAGATTAAAGGAAAATAATTTGCGCTTTTACAGAATTTTTTAAGAAAAACAATTTCATCAAGATTTTCAATTTATAAGGGAGGAGGTTTGATAAGAACCATATATCAAATTGTAAATATCTATTTATTTGGCCCCTGAAATTGCAAAAATATTAAAGTTATTTAAGATTTTCAAAGTTAAGGTGGTACATAAAACTACAGGGAGATAACTCTGTAAAAATCAGCTGAACGCTTTAATCACGTTCTTTTTTTAAGGAAGTATTAAGCTTCACAATGATCAAAATTAGTGTTTGTCAAACTGCTATATATCCAATGAAATTTTTCAGATAAAGTGTGTAGTTCGAGTTTTTTGAAATTTTTTTATTTTTGTCAAAGGGTCAAAGTAAATATTTTGTCAAAATTTTATGAAAATTAAACAAGCCAAATTAATTTTAGTCAAGGTGTTTGGTACCACCTTAAGTGAATTTTATTGATAAATGAACAGGCTAATATATTCTGGACAAGT